GGCTTCCTGTAGTCAGCCGCTGGTCAGTTTCAGCAGTGGCTGAATCTGGACGCCAGTTCCGACTTACATACAGATTCAACTTAAGAACAAACCTACAGTCCCTATCTTGTACGTAACCTGGGGACTGCCTGTAGGGTTCAGAGACCAGGTATATTTTCTTAGATTGATTCTGTTTTCCAGTAGCATGTTTTAATTTAAAAAAAAAAAACCTTGGTTTACGGTGCTCTTCATTTACACATGAGTGGCAGGACTAGGGATTCAGGAAATATGAATTCTCTATTCCTGTCTCCATGACAGATTTCCTGTGTGACCTGGGCAAGCTGCTTAACCTCTCTGTTGTTGGTGTTTTATATCTGGAAGATTGGCAATGGGTAGGGCTAGAGAGGATTGGAAACTTTACTTACTTCAGAAGGTGTTGAGGCTGAATTTACTTGTTTGTAGAGCTCTTTGATATTTTCAAATAGAAGATAGTAGAGAAACTATTTTTTTATTCTTTTGCAGAAGTAAAGCACCCATCCAAAGGCACTATGTGCTGTAGACCTACATTTAAAAAATCAAGTGCCAAATCCTGTTCCCTTCTTATCTCCCTCGCCCCCTTTATTCTGTGTTTTGTGTATATGAAGTGTGTTTGATTTGGGCGGTTTTGGGTGTGTGTGTTTTAAATGGGAGCAACAAATGTAGATTCCTGATTCTTCACAGTCTTCTGTGACATGCATCGCTGGTGGTGAATTATCACAAGACAGGAATTTTGGGCAGACCTTGCTAAAATATTGTCAGCACATTACTGTGACTCTTGGAATGGCTTTAAATGCTACCCCATGGACTTATGTTAAAAAGTGTTGCTTAAGATCAGGCTGCCCCTTGTTCTTGATAGTATTACTAATAATGTTGCTTGAGTCTGTAACTTAAGTAATGTGGGTTGTTTTTTCCTTGGTGGGGGGAATAAAAGGAAAATGTATGTGCTTTATTTAAATGGTTGTATTTTTCAAAAATGAAGGAGTAAATTTGACTCAAGATTTAGATACGGCTTCTTGGTAGACAATAGGGCAGGGAGTGGGATGTGGTGAGGTTCAGGGCAGGGGATGAGAGGTGTCAGAGTTGGGCCAGGACTGGATGGGGTGCTCAGGGCAGAGTGGGGGGGTGCAGGAGGGAGGACAGAGGTTGGGGGCTCATGGCAGGGTGTAGGGGTGCAGGATTGAGGGCAGGGAGCTGGGAGATGTGTAAGGGTGCAGCGTGGGGGGTCAGGTATGTGGTGTAGCTTAGGGTGGGGGGTTAGGAATCAGGTTGGGGGTAATAGGCCAAGGACGTGCACCTCAGGGCAGGGGGTTGTGAGGTTTGGGGGAGCTTACCAGGGCAACTCGTGGCAACGAAGTTGGCACTGCTTCAAGAGGGGAGGGCAGGTTACCTGGTGCCAGCGTCTCCTCCAGGAAGGCAGCAGTTTCTGGCCCCTCTGGTGTCTCCCCTGGAGGGGTAGGGGGTGATTTTTGGCCCCCACCATCTCCTTGGGGGGAGGTGGCCAGTAGTTCCCACCAATCCTGGGTGCAGGGAGGAACTGCCAGGCTATGCTTCCCTGGCCGCCACCCTGCGTCTCCTGGGTTTGAGAGGTAGGCAGTTATTTGTGGCCCCCTCACTGTCTATTGGGGATGAGTTGGGCTGTGAGGCCACAGTTTGCGGCCCCACCCTCCAGAATGTTCTGGGAATTAGGGAGCTGCCAGGCTGCAATTCATGGTCCCTCCCCCTGGCATATCCTGGGGATCAGGAGTGGAAGGCACTGAGCCTGTGGTTCATGGCCTCTTCTCTCACAGGTCTTGGGGGTACATGGGGCTGCACTTCCCAACCCTGGGGGATGATCCTAGGAGGGCTGCGGCAGAACTGCTGGCTGCCGGGGCTTTTCCACCCCCGTCTGGCACTGGCCATGTGGAGCCCTGTCCCCCTCAGTGGTCTCTGTGCAATATAGCTCTCTTATGTGTTCACTGCCCCCCGCGATCACTCTGCATATAGTTCTTCCTCTAGGAGGATATAGTTCTGTATCCATTTCTGTGTTAGGGAAAACATTCCCCGTCCAGACACTTTCCATTTTCCTGGCACAACCTTGTTTTAAGGTATGATAAGAGGAAGCTGCAGATTAAATATGATGGTTCTAGCTCCTACAGTTTAGGATGTGTTCTTGAACAGACAAACACACATTTCAAAAATATATAGTTAGACCTATTTCCTCTCATTTTAATGAATCTGTTGAAAAATTGTTCACTAGTCACAGGAAATCTGAAGTCCTTGGGTGATTCCCAAGCCCAAATCTGAAAATAACTTTGACTTCTGGACACGCTTTGATTTATTAGTTTAGCATGGAAATAAAGGTGCAAGATTCCTTAAATCTCTGTTCCTGAAAACTTGTAAATAAAGGGTGTTACTATTTATTTTGACTTTGAGCTCAGTGAAAATTGAGGTTTTGAAGCTACTACTCAAACAGCCGGTAATAAAGAGACTGATTTACAACAGCTAAGCTTTATTGTTATCTGTCTTTTTTTTAATAATTTTATTTTTATTATAAGCTCTGTCCACATGGACAGTGACAGAATTTTGCTATTCAGGTCTATTACACGGGACTGTAGTTAAATGACACACACTGTTTTCTATACCCAATTCATGCTGCTACTCACTGCATTTGAAACCCTTATTAAGACCAGAAAGAGATGGGCATGCAAAGGAATGTTGTCAATTCAGGACACTGTTAGCCTGGTGCATTAACTTTTTGCACCAGTGTTTTGATGATTTGCTATCCTTTATATGGTGAATTAATAACAAATGTCTGATGATTCAAGACACCAGGAAGTGTCAACAACCCCGTTCGTTTGTTGTGCGTGTCTTTTTCCTTTTACAGGCCACCCTGGCTATAAGTCCAAGATAAGTTCCAAAAAACGTGGACTTAAAGCAGAGAATTTTTTCCCCGCTGTGACTTCCATTTGCACAATTTTTTTTTTGCATGACTTAAGAGTGGGGAATGGGAGGATTTATAGCACATCAGTTCCTACAAGCGTCAATGACTTTAGTGCAGAACGGATGTATACTGGGATGACTTATAACGGGGACGCTGTGTACTCCTGTTGTGTGTTGCAATATTGAATGTAGAAAAGAGCATCCATTTAGAAATTGGCTTATTTGTTCTGCAATAATGAATGATTCATAAAGTGCCTTGAGATTACCAGTTTCCGTGTGTATGCAATACTCTGGTTTCATTGCTTAATATGTGTAATGCAGTGATTCCCAACCTGTGGTTAACAGACCCCTGGTGGTCTGCAATGGTACTGCGGTGGGCCCGAGCCTTACTTTTCTTCCCCCCGCCCCCCGCACAGAAAGGGGTTCATGAAATTTTAATAGATTGAAAAGGGGTCCGTATGCTTGAAAAGGTCAGGAACCACTGGTCTAGTGGGTTAGGTCTCTTTTGGAGGCTGAGCAGAATAGTTAACAGTAAGCTTTTAGTCTCACTGAATACTGAATTTCTCTCTCCAGAGTTTAACTTGACATATTAAAATGTCTTGTGATTTTTTTAAATTACCTCAATTATGCTAGATTAATTTACTATTTCATTATTCTACTTAATTTTAATCACATTAAATTTACTACACTCATTGTGTCTTGTATTTACAATACATTGAGTGCTAAAAGACTTCTCATGTACAATTTGCTAAGAAGTAAAATAGCCAGTTGCTAGTCTGATTCTGAGCTGTTGTCATGGAAACAATCTCTAAGGGATAGGTTGATCATATTTAGCTTTTGCAGACGAAGACCACTGTTTATACATCAGTATGACAGATTTGCAACACTTTTCTTTAGATATAAATAGGGCCCTACTAAATTCATGGTCCATTTTCATCAATTTCACTGTCATAAGATTCAAAAAATCGTAAATATACTTTTAGTTAATTAAAACTGAATTTATAGTTTTGTAACTTACGGGTCTGGACCCAAAGGTTATTGTAGGGAGGTTGTCATACTGCTACACTTGCTTCTTCTGGTGGCAGTGCTGCCATCAGAGCTAGGCAGCTGGAGAGCAGTGGCTGCTGGTCAGAAGCCCAGCTCTGTAAAAAGCAGTGCAGAAGTAAGGATGGCATGAGTTTTTCCCTTAAGATTTTCCATCCATGAGTGGAGTGAGTTTTGTCTTGTGCGCCAATATTGCGGTCATGGGGGCTTTTTCAGAGGTGTGCAACCATGACACCCACCAGTGGCACTACTCCTTGAGAGACTCCCCCAGCACCCAGAGAGTGGGAGGCTTGGGCAGTATCATGGGAAGCCAGAGAGGGGAAGCTGGCAGGGGGCTCTGAGAGACAGAGGGCTGGGGGGAAGAGGGGTACGGGATGGGGAAACAGGAATGCAAGAGGCCCCCGACCCCAGGAACAGTCACACCGCAGCTCCAGTTCCGGCAGAGTAGCCCTGGCTGCTGCTCTGGCTTAGAGGTAACTTAGTATATAACCAAGTCAGTGACAGAAAACATCTATAAGGATTAGTTCCTGATGATGAGCAATTGGGGAATACCTTAAGTAAACAAAGAATATCTTCCCTTCCGTCACAAGCACCCCCTTTCATGTGGTTCTTTCTAGTTTTGCAGGTTGGCTAAGAGGAAGCAAAATTTTCAGAGCAAAAGCTGTGGTACTGTCCATTAACAGTCCTCATTTGTTGAGTGATGACATCCTGCTTCCCCCAACTCCAGCACTTCATAATCTCCTGTTGAACTCAGTATATTCAAAGAATAAAATACCAATAATTGGCCTATCTACATTACAGAGCAACTAATTTTGTTACACCTTTTAAAAAAAAATTAATTTTTAAACTGTCTTCCCCATTTTTTGGATAAATTAATGGCATAGTACTAGATTTCTGCTATATGTAGCAATTTCCTCAAAATATACCAAAGATTAGATAGCTCTTTACAATAAAAAGCACATTCCATTAGACAACTTACCCAGTGTGCAGTGCAGGGGTGTTGTTGGCCAAGGGACCAGCGAGGAAGGGGACACAGGAGGCACTAGCTCTTTGGGGGTACTTGGGCAGGGGGATCGGGCATTGGGGGGTGGCATGAGGTAGTGGTCAGGCAGCACAAGTGGAGGGTGGGCAGCAGCTTGGGCCCCTAGCTGTGGATGTGCTGCCCGCTCATGCTGTATATGCAGTAGGTGACCAACTAGTTAAACTGGACTGCCTCCCTGCTGTGCTCTGCAGGGCCTGCCAGCTCTGTCTCATTCTCCACCACAGCCTCTGCCTGATCCATTGGCCAACCCCCCCACCGCCATCAACACTTTGATTGTCCTTGTGCTGCCTGATGCCTTCCCCTGGGGTGGGGAGAACACGACTCTTCCACCGACCGCTCTGCATCCACCCCCCTAGCCGCACATCCAACCCAGGAGCAGCGCACTCCCGGCCATGGCCCCAGCTCTGACTGCTACCATGCAGCCTGCCCTGGGAGCAGCTGGGCAGTGATCAAATGACCCTGGCCTAGCTCTAGCAAGCTGCTTCCAGGGTGGGGTGGGTGGCTGCCATGGTTGCAATGCAGTTGTTTCTGATCTCAGGACTGCCTTGGCTGACACCAGGAGCGGCCCTGGCCCCCCACCACATGGCTCTGGCTCTAGCCTGTCCCTAGCCGGGGCCACTGGAGCAGCTGCAGGCTGCCTGCAGTGCATGGTCTAGCTCTGGCCGTGGACAGAGCCGCTGGAGCAACCTCTGCAGCTCCAACTCTGGGGAAAGTCTGAAGCTAGGGCCAGGGCTGCAAGGTGGCTGTCCTGTTGCTCCTGGGGTGGGACAGCTGCCTGCTACTTGGCCCTGCCAATATTTTTTCAATATTTAAAAAAAAAGGTGCTGTATCCACATTCATTGTTTTGATGCTCCTATTATCTTGAAGTGGTCTTTATAGCTTTGAGCTGTTACAGAAGAGTTAAACCACCATACTGAAATGGATATCTGAATTTGAGCCCTGTTCTCTTGGTTCTTAGGTTAATTTGTTGCTAAAATTGATGTCCACCTCCTGGTCTGAAGGAATTATTTAAGCTTGAATTATTTTGGTTATCAATGTTCAAGTGTAAAAAATGAAACTTAAAATATTTATTGCTGAATAGTTTGTGGTTCTTTTTTGGTTTTGTTTTCCCTAAATTCTTCATACTGGTTTGCATCCAACTAGGAATAGTAAAAGCTTCCCAAGAGATTTATTGGTACATTGGTACAAGAGATTGGTACATTTGAGTTGGGCACTTATTGGAAGAAAAGTTATAAAAGCTTCCCAAGAGATTTATTGGTACATTGGTTCAAGAGATTGCCCAACTCAAATGTACCACTTATTGGAAGAAAAGTTATAAACTATTGACTTAAAGAAGAGTTTAGACTAGACCAAAATTTATCTACCTTTCCTTCCAATTCTTGGATGCTTCTTTGCCACAGTTGTTACTTAAAATGTACCATACCTACAAGAGAGTAAACTACCAATGTAGGATTCTGTGCTTCTTCAAGTGACACCCATCAGTTGTCATTAATTATCTTGCTGGACTGGATCATGCAAGGAAAATGGAGTCTCAACTTCCAACAACTTGCTTCAAACCCAGCCTTGCTTAGCTAATAACCAAAAGCCTCCTGTGGCTGGTTGGCCTATATGAAGTCAGTTATTAACATGCTGCCTCTGAATAGAAGGTGTCAAAAACATCTTACAGTTAACACTATTGTTGGTATACACAATAGAGGAGCTAGCAACTGTGAATGGGCATGAATGTTAGCTATTCTAGTGACCTGCACTGGATCAAGGTTTTGAAATGTGTTGGGGGCAGTGGAGAAGTTTTGTACTGTCAACTGCCTGTAATTTCACTTGGGCTGTGGAGACAAAAATTCAGTTATCCTTTGTCCGTCTGGTACAGTTCACAACACTCAACTTTATAAATGCAATATAATGGATTGAAGAGTTAACAGAATATTGACCCGTATAAATGGTTTTTTTTTTCTGTTCATAATTAATATCCATTTTTGTATTTCAGGCAAAGTCGTGCATTTGTCACATGTGTGGTGCCCACCTGAACAGACTCCACTCTTGCCTCTATTGTGTCTTCTTTGGCTGTTTTACAAAGAAACACATTCACGAGCACGCGAAGACAAAACGACACAACTTAGGTGAGCCATCCTTCTAGAAACTCACTAGTCTTTCTATCCCATTGTCTGGTGTTTTGTGAAGGGGTTTTCCTCCACTCCCCTCTCTCCCTGGCCTTCGGTCTGTATGGCATATACCAGTAATTAGCTCATTAGATGAATCTAATGTTGGTCCATCTAATGTTTACCTTGACTAGATCTCTTGCATTATTTTAAATTGAGCGTAACTTTAACTCTTGCTGTTTAGCTTTTCACGCAACACGGATGCATTCCTTGTTATTTAATTTTCCATGCTTGCAACTTATTTCAAATAATGTTTCTGGACTAAAATGATGAAGAAAAAATTAAAGGAAAAATCCTTGAGTAACTTTAAGTTTTAAAAAAGCAATTCTTGTTTTTGATTTGGTATATCACTTTTTATCTTTATTTTTGTTAGCTAATATGTGTGTGATCTAACATTTTAAAACAAAATGTCAAATCAATATTTAACATTGCTTCCACAGTGAAAATGAACGTAATTATGTTCAGAAAAATTAGTCTGTTAAACTTTAAAACAAAAACAGGTTTCTGCGCTTCTGTCCTTGAATGTTTACACTCCTGTTTGAACAACATTCTTGTTGTTAATCTGCTTCTGTCAGAAGTGTAAAGTTGATAGTAGAATAGCTTTTTCATTCTACTTCAGTGGCATCAGCAAAGTGCCTATGAAGCTCCGATTTTGCAGCCTTTGCTTTTAGGTAGTCTAGAAGACTAACAGTATTTGATAAGTTGTGTTTGTAGTCCTGGGAGTTAAGGATGTTCTTTTGATTTTGTAAATTAAGTGAGTGTGACACTAACAACAACATGATCAAACTTTTTTAGGAATAGTTTTCTAATTATAACAACTCGCAAAAACGATTAATCTTTTCTGTGCTCTTTCCTAATGAAAAGTCATATATTTAGTCAAAGGTTGTCTGGTATATGGATTCCAATACTTAAATCCATTTGAACAAAGTTTTATGAAAAAGTAAGGGAGTGGAAAAATTAGTTTTTAGAACCTTCAATATGAAGTCTCACTGGATTTGGCACATTTAAGATCAGTTTGTAACCCTTATTTTCCCCTTTTTTGAACATACTTAGAAAGAAAAATATAGGGATAAAGGAAGACCAGATAGTCTTAAAGTTTAAGAAACACTGCCATAGGCTGAGGAACACCAATTTTTTTTAAATGAGCCAAAAAAAGCGCCTGCCCCTTTAAGCTCTAAAAGCGGCCGCTTTGAACTGCTGAACTCCGTGGCACACCTCCAACTGTCTAGTGTGCTGCAGAACAGAGTTTAAGAAATACTGGCCTATGGAGACCATACACTGACCAAAAAATATTTACTGCCACCTTTGAAGTCCCAGTAGTCTGTCCATCACTAAGTTTAAGTTATATTGGACTGTGAACTTAATGCAGTTTTCCCTGTACTGAAGTTGCAGTCATTCTGTTAGTGTGCATTGCAATGACATTCTCCTGAAACAGGACTAGCCAAAAATAGGTCCTTTGCCTTAATTTGCTTTATTTCATTTAGAAGAAGAAACTAACTTGTAAGATCCAAGCTGACTAATTGACATTAGTATTGAACTTTGATATTCAGATTTCAGCAGACTAGTACAATGCATGATCAGCTGATTTTGGGCAAAGGTAAGAATAAGGATTTTTTAAAAGAAGCTGAGACTTTAAGTTGTGCAGTTCACCCTGTTAGTAAAGTACCAGCAAACTAATGTAGTGTAATCATTGATTGATATTTTCTGTTTGCAAAATTATTTTTTGATTTTTTGAAGAGAAAAAAGACCTCTGAATTCAGTGGCATTTCTGTATATCAGAAGAGCACAGCTTTGTCAAAAAAAAAAAAAGTAGCATTAGCTTCCATAACTGCCCTTATCCTTTAGGATGTACATGTTTTTATGCAAGGGAGTTAGTACATTTGCATGCCTCCATAGCTAATCTCTAATCCCTAAATCTGCCACTTTTCTTCAAGAAGAGGCAGATTTAGGGATCAGAGATTAGCTATGGAGGCATGCAAATGTACTAACTCCCTTGCATAAAAACATGTATACAATACGTAATTATCTCACAAAACTGTAGATTTGAATCAGCTGACAGAAAATAAAGCTAAAGTAGAATTGCATGATGCCCCAAACATAGGCAGAACTTCTTCCGTGTAAACAATGGGTATTAAAATATTTTGAACATTGTGTTTACGATTACAGATAAGTTGGGTGAAGTTATGGTAAAACTTTGTATTGGATCAATTTCTGTTGATGAGACACACTCCCCTTTTAAGCTTACATGGAGCTCTTCTTTAGGTGACCCCTGAAGAGGAGCTCTGTGTAAGCTGGTTTCCCTCTCACCAACAGAAGTTGGTCCAATAAAAGGTATTACCTCACCCACCTTGTCTCTCTTGTGTTCTAGGTCCAATACAGCTGCTACAACAGATCATGCAAACACATATTTGATACATTAGTTACTTCTACCTTTTGCCTTACTCTTCAGCGTTGTCACATACTGACTCTGAAAATTTTGCAAACAGTGTCATTTTCTCTTTCCTGCAAATGCCTTATTTGTATATTTAATTGATGTTGTACATGTTCTTGAAGGTTGTTTCAAATGTAAAAATGTAAAGCCAAACTGAATTATCCATTGTAAAACTTTTCTATGCATGGATCTGACATTGGATCTAAGAACAGCATTTTTAATGTAATCTTGTGATATATCTATATCAAGATTTTAGACCAACAGTTTAATTTTAGTGTCCTGAATTACTACACGGGGGAGGAAGGGAGGGAGGGAGGGAGAGAGAAATTCTTTTGGATAAGGAAGAGGGACAGATACTTGATGTCTGTTGCAAATGGTATGAGCTATGTAGATTAAAGACTTGAGCATCAGTACTGGATAGAGAAGAACTGAGGAAACTCTTCAGAAAGGATTAGAGAGAAGCTCTTACAGTTGACTGAAGAATCTATATGGAGTTTATTTTAAAATAATTATATGCAGCCCTAGAACACACTGTCAAGACCATAATTAATTGACCATCTAGACTAGAGTTTGTCAGTCTTTGTTTCATTTAAAAAAAAAATCGTGGCTCATCACTCGTGGGCATAAAAATAAGATTGTGTGCAGCTATCATAAGGGTCTTTATGTATTGGGGTCAACAAAACATCCTGGAATCTACAAGAATTATCAAAAGTTTAAAGGGAAAGCCTAAATCAGGATCACACATCATTCTTTGAGTTTAATAGCAATGAAGTCCATTTACCAGAGTGAGGAAGATCCTTCTTTTCACAAGCATCAGATTCATTCTTCTCTACATAACTACTTTGAAGCTCTTTTATAAAGGACAAAGTATTTTTTTCCCTCCAGCAAATGATAAAATATTGAACAATCTGGCAAACTGACTTGTTAAAAAAAGTCTCTCCTCCCTCCCCCATTTTCCACCCACCACCGAGAAGCCCCAGTATTTACCTCCAGCGAAAATGGAGGTAGTGCTGGCTTCCCAGGTGGACGGGAATTTGAGCTGCTTTGCCAGGCGCACTGTAGGAGGGGGCTCTGGCTCTGGAAGAGGAGCATGGTGACTTCCCTGCACCAGCGCAAGAGGCTTGAGTTGTCCCCAGGGCAGGCACATGCGGGGGTTTCGGCCCTAGGGCAGGCACATGTGGCGAAGAGGGTCTCCTGAATGGGCTTCCCTGCTCAGTGGGGGAGGGGAGAGTCAGGCCCGGCAGAGGCACGCAACAGGGCTTCCTTCCTTCACGGGGGGTGGTCGGCCCCGGAGGGAGCGCGGGACGGAGGCTTCCCTCCATGGCTGGTGTAGGGGACCGCCTTTACGACCGCTCCATGGGAACTTTGGTCGTAAGTGCGAACGGTCGTAACTCGACTGTTCGCAACTTGGGGAGCAGCTGTACAATCCGCAACAAATGTCCCCCACAGAAGGTTACAGCACACTTTACTTGGGCAATAGTAGTTTCAATGGCCTCTCGAGAACTTGCCTCTTACCGATATTTGAAGGGCAGCAACCTGGTCTTCTGAGCACACTTTCACCCAACACTACGCTTTACAGCATGGTCCTATTCCTACCATTACTGTGGGACTTGCTGTTTTTTCTACTTCAGTCTTGACTCCAAAGCCCACCACTGCCAGAAGAGGGCACTGCTTTATAGACACCTAGAACGGAGCACCCACAGGGACACCACTCAAAGAAGTTACTCACCTTGTGCAGTAACAATCATTCAAGAGGTGCCCCTGTGTCCACACTATCCACCTTCCTCCCCTCTACCTTGGAGTCCATTCATATAGGATTCCATGATTAGGGAACAGAGGGTGCTGCACCGTGTGTGCAGTCAGAGAGTGGCACAAAGCGACTGATAGCAGTGCCTTGCCATGCATGCACAACAAAAACCTCCAATCGCTGGTGTGAGGATGCACTGACACCACGGCTACACTTATCCTGCACCCATTTTCCACAAAAGCTTATGCAAATGAAGCACAGAGTAGAATATTGCCATGCTTCATTTGCATAATTAGGGGCCATTTTTGTGCAAGAGGCTTTTGCGCAAAAAGGAGCTGTGTAGACAGCTCCTTTGAGCAAAAGCAGCCCCTAATTAATTATGCAAATGAAGCGTGGCGATAGTCTACTCTGCGCTTCATTTGCGTAAGCTTTTGCAGAAAAAGGGTGCAGTGTAGATGTAGCCCTAGAGTGAAGCACCCACAGGATACACATCTTGAAGAACCACCATTACTGTACAAGATGAGTAACTTCATTAAATCCCCCAAACCATAAAAGAATCAAGAATAGTAACTCAAGTTCTTGTAGGGACTGTTTGTTTTGTTTGCATAGCACCTTCCACAATAGGCCTGGGAGTGCTATGGTGGTAATAACAAAACTGCATGCTTTGCATTTTGCTAATTCAGTGGACACAATTATAGCTACTATATTTGCTAATAGAATAGGAACGAACTCCAATATTTTAATGAAACAAATGTGTTTTATCAAAGCTAGACAAATTGAATT